AAAGTTGTAGATCTTTTTATTACCTACAACTTTGTCAATTAACTTTTTTCCATAAGACTTGTAGTTTTTCTGGAAATCAAGGGAAACCGTTTTTTACCCTTAAAAACTCACCCCTACCCCTTCCCGACCTCAGATCGCCCGTAAATTATTTTTCTTTTCATTTCTGTTATATTCTCTTTCTTTTCCAATGGGTTTCATCCTACTATATTTTTTTTTGGTTTCAAAAATTATCGACCCTGATCTATTGTTCTTATTTTTAAAAAGTCCTGTTTACTTTAGAACACACTTTGTATAATTGTGTTTCAATTTAATCGTTGACAAGTAAAAAAAGAATTTGTTCGGTAGAGTCGTGATACAATTTTTGAATATTTCATTTTTATCCAAGAAATTTTGTATCCAAATCAACCACGCGCAGGTTAGTGTCTAGCACTAACCATTAGCCTATATTTTATCCTTATCAACCAGTACAGACAATAATGATTCACCCGGATGTCTAGGACCTTCGACCTATCTAATTAACAGTATGTTTGAGATCGTTCATCTTATTTGTGACAAGTGACACAGCTACTAATTGGAAATATTAAAATGTATGTGCATCAAATGCTGGCGTGAGGATCTCTAATCTATAAATTGATGCTATTATTTAATAAATTGCGTCATTGGAAGATTTTTAGGTAGTTTCATTCTAAGATTAAGCATTTAATATGTAAATTATGTCATAAAACGGATTTACTTTTAAATCAGGTTTTGCGCTTAATAATTTTTTAATTTATAACGAATTGGTAAAAAATCCGTGACAAACATATATCAATTCCTTGAAGTATAAGTTGTTTCAGAATATACGTATTCAATGGCTCATAGAACATTAAAAAGTAGGACGACTTTTTTCTATGGCCCATGGACCAATCGTCTATTGTTTCTGAGTTAAGTCAAATATGATTTTTTAAAGTAAATTTGGACCGTATCTTTTGCAAGAAACAACGTTTTATATTGAAATTTTTTTCAGGTGAGTTTTTGAGGATGCTAAGCATATTCTTCTGCAAAAAATTAAGGGAGCAAAAAAATTTGTCGAATTTTTAGTGATTTTTCAGAATGCTGTATCTCAGTTAAAAATGATCGTATCAAGGTTTTAAAAAAAGCATTTTAAAGCGCCGAATGTCTAGTTTCCATATTTCTTAGCTCAAAATTTTTAGGAGCGACAGTCATCGCGAAATTCTAAGAAATAATACTAAAAAAATGTTTTTTCAATTTTTTGCGTTTTTTTCTCGGTCCACGGGCTTGGAAAAATTTTTTACACAAAAATCATGATATGGACTTGATAGCCTGTTCATTCAGCTTTAATTTCTTTTTTAAAATTTTTCTCTACGTTAATTTGACCCGGAGATATTCGACTACGAATACAAAAGCATCCTTTTGGCTTTAACCATCGATATCTCAGCAACTAATGATCAGACAGAAAATTGACGGGCAGTTTCGAAATCTCGAATAAATTTCCTACAAGGCTATGTAGCGTTCTTGGAAGAAAAAAATTTTCTTTCATCCTCGACATTAACTTGAAAAAAGTGAAAAAAAGTGACTTTTTGACTTGTTTTGCTAAGTCGACCGCATCTTTGCTAATATCGATGGAGAGTCTAATGCTTGTACGAATTTTTACACCTCGATGTACCCCCAAAAGCTCCGTAAATGGGCAGATCGATCTATCGAACGGTTTTTCCGGACCGCTTAATCAAAATTTCAGAAAAATTTAAAGGAGCAAAATTTACATTTCTGAGCACCCTGTAACGTTCGTAAAAATGAAAAATTTGATTTTTTTTCAATTCTTTCACAATTGGGCATTTTTTGCTCATTGAATTTGAAAAAAAAAATAATTTTTGAAAAAAAAAACTTTTTTTAATTTTTGAAAATTTTTTGAAAATTTACTCTTCTTTATTTTTTAACAACTCAAGATAAAAATATTGAGTCATTTTTGAAGCGATGTACTCTTTCCGTACCGTAATTTCCTTTATTTTGAATTAACGAAATTGATTAAAAGTTGATACCCCCA